TTACTCCTCTCTCATCTTCATTCTCTTTCTCTCTTTTTCTGTCTCTTCCTCTTTCTATTCTTTCTTGAACCCCATTTACTCTCACCTTCTCTCACTCTCTATCTCCCTACCTAGGTTTTCTCTTGCTCTTTCTTGAACCCCATTCTTTTTCTTTCTCTCCCTCTCTCATCTTCACTCTCTCTCACTTTCGCTCTCTCTTCCTCTTTCTCTCGCTCTTTCTTGAACCTCATTTACTCTCACCCTCTCTCGCTCTCTATCTCTGTATCTGGGTTTTCTCTTGCTTTTTCTTGAACCCCATTTTCTCTCTCTCCTTTTGTTCTCTTTTTCATTCTCCCTTGTCCCTCTATCGCTTTCCCGCTTTCTCTTCCTCTCTCTTCATCACCTTCTCTCTCTTTGTTCCTTCCACGAGACATTTTATTTATTATTGTTACTATAAGGTCGTTTGTACTATGAAATTGATGAACAACCTTCCATTCTCTCTTTATCCCCTTCGCCCCCATTATACTCTAAATAAATTATCCAACGACAAGCCAAGGTCTTCTGACGCACTTGTCTGGCCATTTTGCGCGTGTGTTCATAAGGCGCAGAGTGCCGCAAGGGGGTCAGAGGCGTAATAGCCCCAGGCTTGGGGGCTTTTTATCGTGATCTGAGAGGGCGTCAGCACACGCCCGAGCATGTCATGAACCCACCGTGAGGTTGGTCCCTGCACACAGTCTTTGACCCGATGAGATCGAGGCCCAACCACAGACCTCCCTCAACTCTTTTGCAAACAATTGGGGATGTGGGATGATACTTTCCGCCCATATACCTTGGCCTCCCTCTTTGCTTAGAAAAGCCTAAAAAAAGACTCTGGTCTCACATAATCGACCAGGTAGACCGTAAGGTTAGCCAGGTGGAAAGGTCGCTTCCTTTCTCCGGGAGGCAGACTGACCCTCATCAATGCCACCCTTGCTAATATACCTATTTACCAAATGTCCTTGTTCCACATGCCGGTAGCCGTTAGCGCATGATTAGAACAATTGATAAGAAGGTTTCATTGGTCTCGGGATGCCTCCTCCAACAAATTTCTTCTTATCGCCTGGGATAACTCTGCCTGTCCAAAAAATTGGGGGATTAGGGATCAAAAATTTTTGGAAGCAAAATGTGGCACTCCTAGGCAAATGGAGCTGGCGCCTAGCCACCCAAGGGGACCAACTGTGGAACACCATCCTTCATCACAAATATCGAATACCCACCACACCGTGAGTCCCTAACTTCAAGCCCAACCAGAGATCTTCTGGAATATGGCAATCCATTTGTTCGGCTCACCATCACTTCCAGTCTCGCATAAGGTTTCATCCCAAACAAGGGAATCACATCCTATTCTGGCAAGACCTTTGGCTTGGACACACTCCCCTTAAGGATAGATTTCCAGACCTGTATTCTCTGTCTCGTACACAACAGGCTACTGTTGAAGATGTTTTGGTCCTAGCGGGGTCTGTGAGATCTTGGAACCCCGTGTTCCAAAGAGCTCTTAATGACTTGGAAGTTTCCGACTTCACAAAACTAGCGGTTGAACTTCAGGCCATCTATTTTGCAAACAGTCCCCCAGACAGGATCATTTGGTACCCCTCAACCTCCAGGAGCTTCTTGGTATCCTCATTCGATCGTAGTCTTTCACAATTTTCAACTGCTCCTGCAGCACCCTCCTCTTCAGTTTCTTAGGCTTGGGTCTCCATAGCCCCCCCCAAAATCCAGATTTTTATGTGGCTAGATCAAATACAGTGCAGGGGTATCCCACTCCCTAACCGATGTGTCTTGTGTATGGCTACCGAAGAAACAAACGACCACCTCCTACTACACCCTTTGCTCATAATCTCTGGGGGGGTATTCTCAATCTTTCTGACATTCAATGTGCCGCACCAAAGCATGTCCCATCCATTCTCTCATCTGTCAAGCCCTTTCCTTGGCCTAAACCTGGGATTCTCCTTTGGAAATCCATGGTGGCGACTACCATCTGGGCTCTATGGAGCGAGAGAAACAATAGAGTGTTTAGGGGTGAATATTCCACGTGGAACAAAATTTTCACTAAGCTAAAATCCACAGTTGTCTTTTGGGCGACAAACCACCACAGTTTCGAAGGAGTCACTGCCACGGCTTTCTTTCAGGATTGGTCCGCAGTCCTAAAACACAATCGCAAACGACCAGCCCGTGCTTCCTGTTGGATTCCCCCACTGCCAGACCATTTCAAAGTAAACTTCGATGGATGCTCCCTCAGGAATCCAGGTCTTTCAAGAGTGGGAGCCATTGTCAAAGACTATTTAGGCAACACGGTAGCTTCGTCTTCCAGTTACATCGGCCACACCAACTCGGTGGCAGCTGAGGCCCATGCCCTCTTGGAAGAACTAAAGCTACTTCTAACTCTTAGCCCACACTCAATCGTGATAGAGGGCAACTCGCATAACACTATTTTGTAGGGCCAAAGAATACCCTCTTCACCTCCACCCTGGACCCTAATGCATATCTTTGATCACATTCATTATTTATGTAGGGATGTGGACGTCTCATGGAAGCATACCTGGAGGGAGGGCAACCAGGAAGCAAATGCCCTAGCTAAAGAAGCGGCTTTACAGGAGGAATTTTAGCAATCTACGTGTTTCTCTAGCTGGGAATTTTGGACCACTTTCTTTTATTAGTTTGTGTTTGCACACTGTAACCTTCTTTTAGAAGGATTTTGGTCTTAATTTTTGGTTCTCCTTCCCTAGAGCACCCAACTCTGTGGTCTGCTTAGGTTTTTGTACTATTTCCTTTCACTCAATTTAAGGTTAACATTAAAATATTTATTTCTACACTATTCACAAGCTACTATTCATGAGTTACTATTCGAGAGTACTGTTTAGGGGTTACTGTTCACAATGTATTTATGGAATTTTAATATTGTTTAGGTTTACTTTTAGGTTTTGAAGTTTTTTAGGGATTCTAGGGGTTTTTATATTTTTAAGAGTTGTTTAGAAAAGTAGGTAAAGTATTTATAGAATATTTTGTTCTTAAAAGTATCTTTATGGATTTTTTGTTTTAAGTTAGGACTATTTAGTTAATCTTAATTTTGTGAAGAGCATTATGGATTTCAGTTAATATGTAAATAAAGGTGCTAGGCTCCCTATGGGGCATTCATGTGACTTATTTTTAAAGAAGAAAGAGTAAAAGCTCCAGGCTTTTGAACCGAAGCTTGGGTATGGAGAAGAAATTTTAGGTTTTTCTAATGGTGCTTGTGTTTGGCTTGTTTTCTTACTGATTTGTCTGTTCTCTTCAATTTTCGAAGTCATAACCACTAGGATTTAGTGAAGTGGATTCAAAGAGATTATGTATGTAAACTGAATCACTGAATTTATAGATTGAAGCATGCCTCAAGAACACATCTACATAGTTTTCATAATGCATTAAAGGTTGGGGAACAAAGAGATCAGCAGTTGACCACTCCTTGTTCATCCACAGAAGTGATGCAGGTACCGTAGTTGTGCTTCTGTATGTTCACGTAGTTCACATGTATTGATTGCTGATGTGGTGATTTCTTAGTGATAAATTCCAAATGAAAGATTTGGGAGAGCTAAGGTATTTTCTTGGGATAGAGGTATATTGAGATGCCAATGAAAATAAGCTGTTACAACAAAAGTATGCCTTGGATTTTTTACAAAAATTTATATGTTGAATTATAAGCCTTAAAGAACAACTGTTGCCATGAGTAAAAGACTGCGCAGGGATGAAGCTCAATGGTTAAGAGAACCAAAGAATTACAGGAATATTGCAGGGACTTTACAAAATCTCGCAGTAAAGCAACTAGATATATCATATGCATAGAATAAGGTATGTTAATTTATGCATATGCGCACTTCGTCTCCTATGGAAGCCTTAAAGGGAATAATCGGATACATTAAAGGAATAGTGGACCATGGCAAAGTTTACCATAAACTAATGTGAAGAATCTGCAAATTGAATCAATAATTGATATGCAGTTGCTGATTGGGCTGGTGACCCAGACTTAAGGAGGTCAGTCTCTGGATTTCATGTTTGTCTTGGAAAAACTTGAAATCATGGAGAAGTAAGAAACAAAAGACAGTAGCCAGGTCAAGTACCAAATCTTAATATTCGTTGTAAAGTAGTAGTACATTGGATTATGGATCACAGTCTGATGACTACATTGAGCATGAAAATTCGAGGATCCACGGTGTTTTGTGACAACAATAGTGCAAGTCCAGTATTTCATGATAGATCAAAACATATTCAGATTGATTATCATTTCTTGCTGGAAAGGATTGAAACTGAAGAAATTGAAGTGAGGTTTGTGGGCACAAGATCAAATACCAGATATATTTGTCAGTATTTGATGTACAACCTGAGGGGGAGTGTTAGTCATAATTGGTTGGGGGTATATTAGTAATTTTATATACTACTTATTCTTGTATAGTTCATGTTACTCATTAAGGACATATATATAATTACGATTTATTAATTAATTAGGGTTGGAAACAATATGAATACATATCTTTGAGTGCAACCTCTCACTTGTAAATGAATTAGGGATCACATCATTCTTCTTTGGCTTCCTCTCCATCCATTTCTACCTATACTGCAACTTACTCTTCTCTCTCAAGTATTCAAGGTGATATTTAACAATGAGTAAATAAAAATCTATATACTAATCTATGCAAAGAGCATAACAATTGCACTAAAAGAAATTGTGAATGGTTTTAGCTTTGAAATGGTAGGGGCACTTCCTTACTACAGAAACTAGTTATATATGCTTATTTTTCTGCATATTCCATCTAAGCATACATCATTTAAATACCGATTGGCATTGAGTAATTCTGAGAATAAATGTACTTTGAGATAGTTTTGTTGCAGTTTTTAGTTTCGTGGGGCACTTTCTTATGACAACATAATTGCATATGCTTATTACTGCATGTTCCATTGTGGCATACCTCATTCAAATACTGACTAGTAATTCCTGCAAATAACTGCAGGTTGGGAAGGTTCTGTCAAAGTTGCAGATTGGAGTGACTAGCAACAATTGTTCTCAGCTGAACAGAACTGGTGAACCTTATCCCTTGGATAATTTGGCGAGCATTTCAATGGGAAAGGTATGCACCAGTTTAATTGGCAATTTTGCAGGAACCTTCTTTAATTTGTTTGTCCATAACAAGTTTCTGTCGAATGTAATTCGGCCATATGGGAACAAAGTATTTGCTAATTAAGAAAAATATCAGAGTATTTGGTTATTCTGATGACGTATTACCTTGACATAGAAAAACTGGCATCTTAACAGAAATAAACAGTCAATAGCATAAAAAAAAACAGAAATAAACAGTTGGTGTGGTTGCTTCATTAGTGGATTTCCCTTTCCCTTAGCTGTGATATCCAACAATCGGGACTTGTTCAAGGCAATGCTCCTTCAGTTACAGAGCATGGATATATTTAACATTTATTCTCATTAATCTAATAAAATTTTGCAGAGCATATTAATTTCTTCTATTTTGATGCTAAAGAAAATGGAGCATGGTTGATAAGCTTTATGGGATGAGAGTTTCCTGGGTTCTCACCATTCTTCTTCTCTGGTTGCAGCCAGCTGAATCACTTTCAAAGGTGACTCCTGGGGACAGCAATCCTGGTTCGAATGACAGTGCCAAGGCTAGTCCAAAGGATCCAATGAGATTGATTGGCTCAAAACTTGTATGGCCTAATAGCGGAAATCATCTGTTTTCTTTATCATTAATTTTTTAATTTCATCTATTTGACACAAGATTTCACCTTCTCCAATTTTGGCTGGTTGAATAACTAAAAAGAATATAAAATCATGCTGGGCTGCATCAATTTAGACGAAAGTAAACAATTGCTGGATGGATACTGAGACTTGCCACTTCCAAAATGGTTTCAGGTTCCCAAAATTCTTCCCATATTGAAGCTGAAAAGAACTCCTGGATCTGACCATAGCAGTGCAGATTGCAAGGAAAGAGGGTGTATTCAAGGTGGAGACAATTCTAATGGTGTTAATAATAAGAAGCTTAGCCCAACTTTGATGGGATGTCCAGAGTGCTCTGATATCGATAAACTAGGGTTCCCTTCACCTCCTTTGGCTTCTGAACAAGAAGGAAAGGAGCATGCACAACCAAGTCATAAAGGTTCTGATGAAAATTTAGTTGGAGATGTTGGAGCGCACCATAAGAAGCTTGACAGATCGAGTTCTGGAGATAGTACTGGTGGTGGTAGTCGTGGCAGTTCTTCAAGGGGTGAAATGGAGCAGAATGCATTCGCTGATTGCGAGATAATTTGGGAGGATCTTATTTTGAGGGAGGAAATTGGACAAGGTTATTTTTTCCTACTTGTAATAACAGAAAAATGAATATAAAAGAAGCAGAAACCGACACAAACACAATTTAAATGCATTAATGTATTTCTGTATGGATTTCTGTGAATATCATCGAAGACAAATATGTGAACACACAATGGATGCACATATATACATATGACTAAAATGTAAAACTACTTTCCTACCATCACCTGAATGAGCTTGAATAGGCGTTTTTTTTTTTCTGTTTGAGTAGCTTGAATATGTAAGTTATTGAATATTTTTTGACATTTTACTGGTAGGACCAGGGGATGCTTATCCATAGCTTTCCTGATTAGAGAATGATATGGGCTGAAGTAGAACCTTTGTCATTCTCTAGGTGGGATTCATTTTTTGAGATAATAAAGTACTCTTTGCCAGTTCATGCTCAATAGTTCACTTCATATTTTGTGAACAAAATTCCCAACTCTCCAAAAAGCCTATAGACAGCTTATACCAACAAAATGCTTTATAGTAACGTGTTTTATTTCCTGACCCAGGAAAAGAAAGGGACAAAAAATAACATATTTGTACTCTTTTGACTCATCCAATTTGATGCTAGATCTCTAGCAGAAACGAAAACTCTTCTTGAGGGAAACCCTGCTTTGCCTTCCGTCCTTGTTAGTGATGACATAAAGGGCGTTATCCTCTATAGAAGGACAAACTCACTAGGGAAAATCCGAAGATTTGAACCTCCCAGACTCAAGTTCGCTACTCTGCTTTGGTTCAGCATAGCATATACCACCGCCATTTTAAACATGCCTCTCATTTTCTGCAGGTTCATATGCTGTTGTTCACCATGGTATATGGAATGGATCAGTAAGTGTGTTTTGACCTGATTCCATTTCTTCTTTCATGTTTTTGCCATGCATTGATGGAGAGAGGCCCTGGAAAGCACTATTTCTGATACATGGTATGTCGTGCATGAATCAGGATGTCGCCATAAAAGTCTACTCTGGAGGAGAGTATCATGAGGGTATTTTACTGGATTACAAAAAAGAGGTGAGAAAACCATTCCCTTGCATCCGGAGTTAACCTATTCCCTGATTTCATTAAACTTAACTGATAGGTTCTGCTCTATAACATCTTTTAGATTGATATAATGAAAAGGCTGCGGCATCCAAATGTTTTGCTGTTCATGGGAGCAGTATACGCTCCCAATCGTCTTGCCATAGTGACCGAGTTCATGCCAAGGTAGTAATGTTGTCATCTCTTATAAGAGAGAAGCTAATGACGTGCACCATGTGCACAAATACTCTATTTGTCTTTTTTTTTGTTTCTTTTGGATTTAACACATTTTTTTTTTAACATTTTTTATTGCACAGGGGAAGCCTTTTCAGGACTCTACACAAGAATACACAGGCATTAGACCTGAAACGCCGGTTAAGGATGGCACTTGATGTTGTATGTTGTTCTTTTAGTTCCACAGATAGATCATATCCTTGATATTATCTTGAACAAATAGATCATGGTTTAACAATTCAGTTACTCTTTTCTTATTTCAGGCTAGAGGTATGAACTACTTGCATCACAGAAATCCCCCCATAATACATCGAGACCTGAAATCATCAAACCTACTTGTTGACAAAAACTGGACTGTCAAGGTAAGGATTTGTGCAAAATTTCCTCTGATAAGGAAGATAAATCTCTAGGCAGTCTGGAAATCACACTTTCTTTCTCTAGGTTGGAGATTTTGGTCTGTCAAGATTGAAGAATTCAACATTTGTGACTGCAAAATCTGGGAGAGGAACGGTAAGCAGTTCCCTGTCAGTCTTTCATCCAAATGAAGCATTAAACTTAGTGGTTCATGGTGTGTATAATTGTATATCATTGGAACCAAGAAATGGTAACCATTCTGTAGAACTTGCCTATATTAAGGTACTTTGTAGATACTCGAGACAAATTGACATAATCACGTGGCACAATGAGTATCCTTGAATTATAAATATAAATATCTTTTTAAATACAACTATAATTACACATTACCCTCATGCTTCTAGAAAGGGGAAGGTGGGTAGTGCAATCATTTATAAGTTTAGCAGCAATGCATAAAACTGCAAATTCCTGAAATGCCTTGTTCGATTTGAATTGGGCTATTCTATTGGACCCATTAACCCAGTAATATGAGAGGAAAAAGTAGACTTGGCTGAGAATTATATGCATACGTACATGTACATAGATTTAACAGAAAAAAGAACTAACAAAAACAATGGAATAAAAAGTAAGATAATTGTTCCAATGAGAAACGAAAAGTAAAGAAAAGAATGCTTGCTTGAAAGTAATATAAAACAAACAGGAACATCAAGTGGAAAGAGCATATGTGACCATGTACTTTAAATAATTCAAAACAGCTGCAGATAGCTCGAAGTCTATGATAGATTTCCATCAGTTGCACATTTCCTACTGATTGTGAGACAAACTTGAGATAATTTTTGTTGGCTTAGTTTCTCATAATTTAACTATAATCTTATAACTATATGATTTAAAAGAAAAGCAGATGATATCAGCAACACTGCCTTGCTAATAGTCGAGAAAATACGTAGACATTCTTGAGAAGGGAATCCAGAGACACCATACCATGTTATATGTTAACTTAATTGTGGTTTATAGTAAACTTTCTGTTGCTTGTAGACGGGGACACCAATTTCCAGTTCCCAAAGCAATGCGCCTGAAGCATATGGGGACATTCAGTAGAAGATAGCGTCCTTAAAATCCAAGTATATCATTAGTGGGCAGGAGATTTTTTTCCCCCCATTATGCAACACTGTAGGAAGATCAACAAAATGCAATAATAGTTAATATTACCAGATATAATGCAGATTGTTTATATGCTATTGAATAAATAGGATTGTTGTTTGGAACAAAATATAAAAACAAAGAAAGTTTGTCGACCAGGTTATTTCTGGAAAACAATATCCTGGTATCATGGTATTGGGAAATTGAGTCCCTTGCATTCGTTGATATATTTTTGTTTCTTTAATCTGGTTACCGATTACAAAAAGAAATTAACAAAATGTTTGTTTCAAGACTCTATACTGTATCAATTTCTAAAATTATTGAAGAGGACGTAGAATTTATGTGGCTATGCTTATATATTGTTTGTTCCTTCATGCAGCCACAATGGATGGCCCCTGAAGTCCTTCGAAATGAACCCTCAAATGAGAAGTAAGTCATTAAAAGGTTTTATGATTGTGTAAGTCTATTATGCATGAATATTGACAAAGTTATGTATCTTCCATCACATTATTCTTGTTTGATTTTTTATTTTATTTTCAGGTCTGATGTATACAGTTTTGGTGTAATTTTATGGGAATTGATGACGGAATCCGTACCATGGAGCAATTTAAATTCTCTCCAGGTATCTGTTTCCTATTTATACTGTTAATTGTTTGTATATAACTTGACCAAGATTGGTACCTAAAAAGAAAGAGGAGAATATACTATAATCCATGATGAGGTTAAATTTGAGCAAAACAAGTCCACAATGGACAGAAGGTTATGCAGAGGAGTAGACCCACCATTTGGGTTATGCTTGTTCTCATCATTCCTGCTCTTTCTTCATAACCATCCGTTATTTTGATCTAAGAAGATTTTATGATCTAGTGAGGAACCAAGTTTTGGGGATTTGACCAACTCAATCAGTGAAGAACCTATAAGAAGAAAATTGTTTATACACTCCCCCCTAGAATTGGACATAGCGTCCAATTTTTGGATGGTCAGGTCGTGGTCTAGGTGTACAAGAACTTGATCCTTTTTCGAACTTATCTAAGGATTATAAATGGGATCCCAATATGTCAGTTCATGAAATCCCTCTAATTGGTGCTTTTGCTTGAGGGGGTATATTGACTGCAAAAGCACATGCTGTTGATAGTGATGACACTTCTGACCGTACCTGTGGTGTACTTTCCCAACTAAATATTCAATGCAGTAGTACATAAAAGCTATAAAATGAGAGGATGCCTGAAGATTATATGAGACTAATAGCCCTTTATACATAAGGTAGTCGGTGTGGTAGGCTTCATGGATCGCAGGTTGGAGCTTCCTGAAGGCCTGGATCACAGAGTTTCATCCATAATTCAGGATTGCTGGCACAGGTGAAAATGCCATATGCTTCTTTTCATTTTCTTTTTCTTTTTTGATTAGTAATACAAGCATCTTAACTTTTGCGGAATTCCTAATGAATACATAATGAAGGCATATGTTGTCACTTTTTCTTTTTAAGGATTTTCATGGCTTTTGCACAGAGAAGTAACTATTTTAACCATTTATGTTATATTAGATTGATGGTCTAAGAAGGGTGGTGATCTTAAACTTTCCTTAAACCCATCTCATATTCGGGCAAAGGGGCATGCTTGTGTTAGGTAGGCAGCCAACGTAAAATGTCAAAACCCATCATGAATCTTAATGAACTTATAGTACCTGCTTATGTTAGGGCATTCCCTGGAAGCGACGCGCTGTACCGGAACCCGATCGTTTTGGGTTTTGAACTTTCAACCAAATTTCAGTTTTTGACCCGTTTCCAATTTTGAGTTGCACCCATTTTGCGTCTTAGATGATCTTAAGTGGAACTTGCATAAACCACAATTTAGACTAAATTCATTGGAGATAATTCCAATTTTTCCCCATTTTAGTGGATTGAATTTCGCTCAATTTTTTCTGAAATTACTCGTCCACTGCACCATGCTTCCAGTTTCTGTTACCCAAATTACCAACCTTTCTTATTTTCCATGTAAAGCTTTCGACCCATCCCCACACTGAGTCCATAGAGTAGAACTAGCTTGTGCTTTTGGTGTTGAAGTAAGCTTTAATTTATGATATTTATCTTATATTGTGATTTCTAATTACTATTTGTTTTTCATTTTTCACTAATTTATGCAACAAAAAGAACTTTTGGATTTTTGAAGTCATAAAAATCCTATTTATAGCATCTTAATATAATAAGTTTTAACCATTTAATTTGAATATTTTTACTTTAAAAAATTACTAATATCAATAAAAATAAGAGACTTACTTTTCCTCTGGTTTTGAGAGAGGGAATCTAGGAGTTGGTTGGGATTAGAAATAAACAAATGTATTAAATCCTGAGACGAACCACCAGGAAAACTTAAATAAGACGATAAAAAAGGTATCAATTTAGGAATGGGGCTTGCGTCAAGACGGTACAAGCTGGGTTTTCATAGCACGTCTCAGAGTTCCACTATATAACCTTGTTAAAAAAAGAAAGGAATAAATTTATAAAATCTATTAGAGAAGTGATTTGATGGTAGAATGCAAGGAGAAAGATAGTCCAGTAATTCTGAACTTATTATTTCCTTACTGAGATTTTAATAAATTTGGAGGGGAGGAGTGATGGCCGCAAATTCTTAATTCACACTTTTGTTTATTCTCTCTCTCTGAATTAAAACTTTTTCGGGCTGATTCTTATCGTATTCATTCAAATAGAAAGCCAGATATGCTCATCCATTTTGGTTTCTATATGCACAGTGATCCAGAATGTCGACCTTCTTTCGAGCACATTCCTCAAAGACTGAGGAGCCTAATAAACACAGTTCCGGCTACTGCTGTTCGAAGAACTTCATCTTCAGAGACTCCAAGGTGAGGCCTCTGACTCTAGATCTCAGTGTCTACATCTTCAAAGGAACGAGAGCTTCTTTTGTCAAAGCTCTAGACCGAATCACTGGTTTTCTTGTTGCTTCTCTCTCTCAATGACGAAGCTGCAGAAGGAAAGGTGAGATTTTTACCAGAGGAGATTGAAAGCCATGGGAAATGGGAATTAGGATTTGAGGCGATGAAACACTACAATCATTAAGATTAAACCCCTGAAAGGATTTGTGCGTAGGACTGAAAAATTAGGGTTTGGAGATGAGCAGAAACGTGGAAACTTGGGTTTTTGGCCTGAAAATTAGGGTTTGGAGATGAGCTCAAATGGGAGAAGTGGGGGGTTTACGTACTGTGAAAGCTAGGGTCAAGACAATGTGAGAGAAAATGGTGGAACTTTTGCTTGGGAGCTCGAGTGTAGATCCTAGGACCTGAATTTTGAAGGTTTTGACGAGAGAAAATGGTTTTTTTTTCTTTTTTTGGAGGTGTTTTAATTTTGAACCTAGCTTTCCTGCCTTCTGCCCACGCTGCCTGGCAGCTTCCTTTTTTTTTTTTGCTAAATATCGCGGTTACTTTTGTATGACCGGCCACCTTAAGTTTGTTGCGTTGTTTTTCTGGCAGAGCGAAAAGAGTTTTGCTTTGGTTAATTTGGGATATGAACTGCAAGGGTTTCCTTTTTTTTCTTGCTTTCAGTGTCGGACCTGGACCTGAATAGTATTCAGGTCCAAGATTTGGATCCGGACCCGAATAGTATTCAGGTCCAAGATTTGGACCCGGACCCGACTTGGTGGGTCCAAATTTTTGGACCCATTCTTGGATCGGGACGGGTCTAACCCTAGGGTCCTGGGTTGGGTCATCGCTACTACTTGCTTTTTAATTCTCATTTCCCTTTCCTGTTTTATTATTATTATTGTTTTTTCACCCCATCTTCTTGGCTCTGTCTCGCTATCTTTTTCCGACTTTACATGGATATTAAACATTGAAACTAATGTACTCGACACCAAGAAACATCTTTCCGGAGGTATCTTACGTAACTGATTTCGTAGTCCTCTATTATGGATGGTTTGGATGTACTCATTATGAACAGGGTTTACCATTTCAATGAAATTAATCCTCATAATGAATCATTTGTTACTGAACAGTATTTATAAGATAAACTGTGTAGTTCTACATGTAAGTTTATTTTTTTGAATTTTTATTTTATTTTATTGGAAATAATTTATGCAAGGTAAAAGTTTATATAAGGTTGTAATCTTTTTATTAAAGAAATAAGGTGTATCTAGGATATCTAATGGAAACGAATATTTTGAAGTTGGAAAACCTTCCTATTGATCATTTATGGATACATAGAAAAAAAGAAATTTCGAGACCTAAAAATAATACATCCAAGTTATGTGGATGGTCTATTTAAAGATTTCCAATTATTTATAGATCCTTTCGATTTGCATGGATTTTTTGAGTTTAAATTTTATAATTAAGATTGAACATTGGAATTATATTTTTTGGCAAAATTTATATGTGAGCCTTGCTCGTATGATATAGAAGGTGAGTCCTTATACAAACTTTACTTTTTACAAAATATTATAGTTTTTTTGGCAAAATATAGTTGAACTTTTTGTAGCAATAAATTATTGAAAAAGTAAATTAAATTATATCATACATATTATCAGATACATATCAAGTTGTATCATACATATTACCAGATATATATCAAGCACTCTATAAAATAATATTATCCAAAAGAAAAAATTATTAATTTTAGATAAAATAGTCTATTTCAGATAAGAGTTATTAGACATTGAAAACGGCTCTTTTATCCGATAATGTGAATTTTTCTTTGTTTTAGGCTAATACTCTTGGAGGCAAGTCTATTGAAACTAGAGTTGGAACCAGAAAAAGATTGTTAGCGGGCCATTGAGAACCCCCAAAAACTGCGTTATATTTTGTGTTATTATGGATGTACTGAATAGTTTTTGTTGTGGCATGTATGTTCATTTTTTACTTTTTATAATGTTATTGTTTAAAAAAGATGATTTTATCTTTTTTCAGATGCTGAATTTGAGGGTTTTTTGGATGTTCAACATCCGAAAAGAGGTTGAAAGCTTAACGTTCACATTCTCATTTTCGGGTGTTGAACATAAGGGTTTTTGAGATGTTGGACATCCAAAAATGGTTTTGAATGTTGGACATCCGAAAATGTCATATTTTCGGATGTTCATCATCCGAAAATGACTGCGAAATTTAAGGGATTTTTTTGAAATTCAAAGTCATTTCCGGATATTGAACATTCGAAAATATGACATTTTCGGATGTCCAACATTCGAAACCATTTTCTGATGTCCAACATTCGAAACCATTTTCGGACGTCTAACATCTGAAACCATTTTCGTAAGGAATATAATGTATCAATATAACCTTTCAATTCGGATGTTCAACACTTGAAAATAGGAATGTGAGTGTTAAACTTTCGGCCTATTTTATGATGTTGAACATTAAAAAAACCTTCAAATTCGGTCGTCTAGCACTCGAAAAAAAAGTAAAGTCGTTTTTTTAAGAAAAATACGTTATACAACTATTTGGTACATTCCGTAATGATAGAAACTATTTAGTACATCTGTAATAATGCAAAGTTTAACGGATATTTATGTAATTTTTTCAAAAAATAATAAAACTTGGGGACTCGTTCCTAGTTCTGCTTTCGGTATGTGTGTTGGGATTTGGACCTTGCCCTCTTTAAATCCCACTGTCAGAAACATTTATACTAATATTTTTTATAATTTGCGGTGTTTATTTTATTTTTTTATTTTTATTATTTAAAAAAATTACCCTTTTGCTCTTATCCATTATAAGGAATCAAACTGGATCATATATGGTAATTATGGACTTCTCATTGTCTACGTTTTGAATTCTAGATTACAGCAATCGTGAACTAAAAGTTCTACATTGAGATATTTTGTAGTAAAAAAAAAAAAAAGAACACTGCACGTGTATTTTGTAAAAACACAATAAAAAAAAAAAGGATACATGAACATAAAATATAAATTATAATAATACTTTTTAAAAAGAAAGCATTACCATAAATTTTCTTAAAGAGCGTCGCCAGCTCCATAGAATTTTTTCTTTTGTGACACTATGCAATTGCATTTGTTGAAGAACCTTTGTTCACTATGGTTTTCTTGAAGATTCTCTCCCCATAGTTCTAGTTTGTGTGATTTGTTATCTGTTGCGAACTTTTTTTTTATCTTTCATATATTAATAGCGAAGAGTTCTCTGCCTATAGAAATATGACTCAAGATATCAGGTTACGGCACACACCACTTTTATTACTTATACTTTTGGGTTCACTCGTAATTTATCATCATTAGTTTTTTTCTAATTAATTGGGATTGGTTACAAGAATTCTGGTCCATTATTTTTTTCAATATTAGTAAAGTTTTATTTTGTCCGTCATTTTGCTCAGTTTTGGTGAAGTTTTACATTGGCGACTTACTCGACACAGCTCACCATTTTTACCCGGGTTTGGGATATGTTAAAATAAAGTTTTAAGGTCTTAACTTTGTTGGACCAAATTCATTCTTAATTATAATCATGTATTATTTTTTCAAACTTCTCTCTTATTTTATTTACACCAAGAATGTAAGAGTAGAGGAGAGAGAATCTGGGTAAGCGAGATTGAGCACATCTGGATGCAGAGACCACATGGGTACAAGAGAGAACTTGCAGAGCAAATCTGTGTTTCACATTGTGAAAGAACATCTCTCTCTTATGTTGGGAAGGAGTCTCTCTCTCTCATTTGTTTGCGTTACATTCACATCTCTCTCTCTCTCTCTCTCTCTAAAACATCAAACAGGCAAACCTAGTTCACTCAAGAGCACACACACAACCAACACTCCAAGCACACACCCTAAATGACCCACCAAACCAGCTTCATCCATCCGGCTCCCATGAGCCAACCTCTCACTAAGATATAAATACCAATCCCTCATATAATCTCTATTACCCCTCTCTCTCTCTCTCTCTATACAGTCATGGATCACAAGTTCTGGGTCGTAGTTGCCCTTTTGCTGTCATCCTTTGGCTCCTCAGCCATGGCAGCCATAGATTGCACCACTGTTACATCCCTCATTTCGGCTTGCGCAAGCTTCATAACCAATGGCACGCCTGAACCATCCACTGGAAGCCCGTGTTGTAATTCGGTCATGAGCTTGAACAACCTCGGCGACTCGCTCGAGAACCGGCGATCGGTGTGTACATGTCTGGTGAATCTCATGGCCACTTACAACCCAAATGTCACTTCCATGGCTAACCTGCCTGGTCTCTGTGGCATATCCTTGGGGTTCACCATGGGTCCAAACACTGATTGCAGCAGGTGAGGTCTTCCTTAATGTTATGTGGAATGTGAGACAGAGAGAAACCTCCCTCAGGTTTTTTTTTTTCTTTGGAGGGAGTTTTTTAGCCATTCACAATAAGTGCTCACTAATGCCAATACATTAAGAAGGGAAAAGTTTATATCGAGCCGAGGCTCTAAACAATCGAATTTGAGCCTACCTCAAAATACTCATTAGAAGACGTTTTTTTTTGGTGCCCAAATGTCCTCAAATTGATCATCTCGACATCGAGATGCATAGATATGAAAAAATAATGGATTTCAAGTTTTGGAAATAGTATATTTTGTTTCAAGTTTTCATAGATCTATCGATCTACACCATTTTTTAAGCTTTAAACTTTATAAAGAGCGATGAAAACATACTTTAAGTCTGTCACAAAAGCCTAGGCTCTATAAAAACCGCATCCTATAAAGAAATGCATTAATAAAAGGAAAATGGTTTGATAGGACTACAACCCTATCAAAATAAGTAAAGCCTCACCTTATAACTCGTCAAAACTTGCAATTTAAATATTGAAAAACCTATATATCGATCATCTCGGCTTGAACGTTATGGTAGTGAAAAAAATTTGGATTTCAAGATATGAAAATAGTGTATAATGTAACAAATTATCTAAACCGTCCATTTTACCCTAAAAATAAGTTTTTACAGATCCTTATGATCTGTACCATTTATAAGTTCCAAATTTTATTGTTGATGTTAGAAATTGATTTTAGAGTCACAACGAAAATTTTTGTTGCTGAAAGTGCTTTTGTATGAGGATTTGAGGTGAGGCTGTTTTAATAAAATCTAGGCCTTAAGAAACTTCATCCTTAATAAAATTAGGGTGCAGTTTGCACAAGGTTGAGGCCCTAAACAATCAAAGTAAGATGTACCTTCAAATAATGTTGAATATGTTATTTCAGTATAAAAAATCTTCATGAGGGTTTGAAATTTTATTTTCATCTCTGATTATAAAATTTAAATATTAAAAAATAGTGTGAATCTTGTAGATTTATATACGCTTGAAAAATTGACAGTCTAGATAATGCATTATAAGATGCATTATTCCAAGACCTGAAATTTATCTTTTCTTATGTCCATACATCTTGAAGTCGAGATGATCAAATTTAGGGTTTTTCAACATTGAAACAACCTCTTCGAGTGATTTTTTGAAGTGTGTCTTAATTTGATTATTTAGAGCCTCACCCTTACATAAACTTTTTCCCATAAAAATTATTATTGTTAGATTTAATATTGGCTGGTACAAAATCCAAAATAGAATTTCTCAAACTAGGTGACACACTATGGTATATAACATATGCTTTAACCTATCCAAGGAAAATAATATGACGTTATACAAAAGACACTTGATTTGAGGGTACTTTCCTCCTCAACGTTGTATAGGGAAGGTAGACAAGAAGACCTATTACATATGATGTGAGGAAGGTAGACAAGAAGAACATCTAATTGTGGTGTGAAATTTTCATAATCACTTTTATCTATCAGACGTTAAATACGATATATCATTGACCATTCTTGAAGTGAGTTTTCCCTAGCTTTTTTACGGAAAAATGACACATTCTAATTGTCTGATTCAACATATTTGACATATCAAGGTGTTTGTGACCTAATATCTACACACGTATAATTTGTGTCTCAAGATATCGATCAAACGATTCAAAATGTGATGAAAATAATGTCACGCATTAATTATAACTTCACTCTCTCAATAGGTTGTGACTTGTTCTTAGCTCACTGCCAGCCGTTCAATTATGATTATATACAAATCATGTGTACTGATTTCTCTTGTATATAATGATATCCCTTGTATAAAACCCTGTTTGTTTCAATAATTTCTCTCTCCTAACTCCTAAAGCGGGCCTTTGTATGATGCAGCATTCCTTGAATTTCGATGAGACTACATGAGAGGATGGATAATAAAGAGGCGTTTGGATTGCCTCTCTACAGGCATCAGTTGTTAGAGATTTCCTAAGGAATAAAGAAAGTTTCTTCTTACAAATTTGTTTATATTTTTTTTCTTTCTTTATAATGAATAGCTGATAATCTACTCATCAACGTTTCTGTTGGGAATTTGAACTAAGAACCGGGAAGTGCTCCATTAACGTTTTGCACACTTTTTTATAAAATTTTATGTCAAAATGATAAATATTACATCCTTTTTATAAAATTTAATGTCAAAATGATAAATATTGAAAAAATGAAACGCTCAAGCTGTTAGATACGTTAAGAGTGAATATGAGCCAGCTGACACATACTTTCCAAGATCTGGATAATATTATTCCATAGGAAAGCTAGCTCACGAACATATTTTGCATACAAAAGTTGGAATCTTACTTGACCTCCTTGAATTAATCAGTATTTTTCAAGCTTTCCTATATGGATCACTATTTCTTCGAACAACTCTCAAGATCCATTGCCACCTTATGATTATGAGCTTCTTTTTTTTTTAATCATCATGCACCCGACGCCTATGAGTTTCTTTTTTTTTTCTTTGTCAATAATATTGTAAATGTTGCCAATATTGTAAGAATATGAACACCTAACGTGCGCTTAAAGACCCATGATTGCCATCATATACCCTATGACTACGAGTACGGGTTAAACCTAGCTAGATCCAGACCTGAACCTGAATAGTATTCGGGTCCAAAATTTGAACTCATACATGGACTCTAAGACGGGTCTACTCGTCGGATCCCAGATTTGGTCGGGTCTATTGGCACCCCTACTATCAAGTTACCTTTGGTACTCTCTCTCAGTATCTCTCTCATTACCTTTTCAAATATGGATGTTGACATTGGCTAGTTTCACCGTTTGGATTCCTTCTCTCTCTCAACATAACTTGTGGATGCTCTTTTGGCCCATACCCGATTGGACCTATTTGTCTATATATTTAAATGTTATATATAAAAGAATACACTACACAACGTTCACCTACTTCCATCACTGTCTAAAGTTCATCAGGCGGTCACCATTATCCGGTAGTGTTTCATTTTTTATTTTTTTTTAAAAATCGAAATGACTTAAAATTTGGAGTGTGTATTAATCAAAAATAGGGGAATATTTGAAAAATATAAAAAAAAATATTTTACATGAAAAATAATTGACCAAAATACCTTTCGGGGGTATTTTGGTCAATTATTTTACACGGATAATTTTTTTATATTTTAATTATATGGGCCTTAATAATATGTACATACCCTCCAAATTTCAGGTCATTTTGATTAATAAAAAAAATTGAAAAATAAAACACTACCGGACAATCGTGACGGCGTGATGAAACTTGGATAGTGATGAGGGTAGGCAAAATCACTATTCATTTTCGTTTATAGGCATTAGGAAGATTTTTTCATATATATATATATATATATATATTATTTAATTTAGAATGATCCTATAGAACCCTGCCCCATCTATGTGTGTAGGACCCCAAAGGATCACCATTAAATTTGACATGGATCTATAGAAAGGTCAAGTCCCACATCCATGTGATAACTTTTCTGGAGATCTGTACCAACTTTAATGGTGATCTTTGAGGTCCTACACATATGGGTAGGGGGAGGGTTTTTATAGAATCGTCACTCTACTCTATTTAATTATTATAATTAAAATATAATTACATTTATTTAAATATTATTAAAATATTATATATTAAATATTATTTAAATAATATTATTATTCAGGTCAGGTCTAGGACGGGTCCACATGGACCCAGACCCGAATAGAGTTCGGGTCTAATATTTGGACCCAAACCTAACCTGTCGGGTCCAATTTTTGGATTCATAATTGGGTCTCGGCTCGGGTCCATGTCGGGTCCGGGTCCATTGCCACCCCTATCTCTCAAGATACCTTCTGGATCTCTCTCTCTCTCTCTGTCGGCCATAACTGCAATTTTTTTTCCATTGACTGGATAAGATTGAAAATGAACCTTTGACACCAAGTCATTGCTCTATCGTCTTAACCAAGAACTAGCGGGCTACTTTTAGTGTCCATTAAAAGACCAAGAGTCAAAGAGAGGAGAGGGTCAATTGATCATTTGGTCTCACATACTATTAAATCTTTTCCTTCCATTTCTTTTGTTGGTTGGGTGGGTAGGTTGGAGGGGTCGGTGCCTCTCCCTTTCCTAATTCCCCTTGTTTTGAGTTGTTTGCCCTCATAAATAAGTCAAAATTTCGGAAAAGTTTGGTTTGACCTATAAATCGGTAGTTGTAAGACTAACAGGCTTAAAATACTTAATTTGAAAACCTAGGGTTTGGGCCACAAAATGTAGCAAGTCAGAGTCATGTAGAGCTAGTTTAACGGTCTAGCTTGATTTTGGTTTTTCCGTTTATTTTTTTGTTTTTTTATTTCATATATTTGAGTCTATTAGGTTTAACTTTGGCCCAAATTGGTCCAATGACTTGAGCCAAGCAGCCTGGCCCGTTGCTAATACTGCTCTACAACTTGACACGCATTTATTTTAGGGAAAAGTTTATATAAGGTTGTAAGCTTAAAATGTAGAATCGCATATGCACCTCAAAAATCTATTAGAAATGTTGTTTTAATGTTGAAAAAACCTTTTAATCGATCATCTCGACATTGAGATGTATGAATATGAAAAAAAAAAGTTATTGAGTCTCGAAAATAGTGCATCTTGCAACACATTATCTAGACCGTCCATTTTCAATATTTTCATATATTTATAGATATACTTGATTTTAACCAATTTTAAAATTTAAAATTTTCTAATTAGGTATGAAAATGGATTTTAAGATACTACTAAGAATTTTGTTATAAGGTGCGCCTTGATTGGATTGTTTAAGGTTGCATCTTTATAAAAACTGCACCTTTTATCACTTGGTTGTGTTTCAACATCTTGTTATGCCATGGTTAATGTGTAGTATCATACTCAAGTTTACTCTTGGGTTGCTGGATGTCTACCGGCTCAGGCTCAGGCTCAGGCTCAGGCTCAGGCTGGTGCATGTTGTCTCTGTTAATCCATAATTTTAGTATCAACCCACTTTAAATAGTCAATAACATTGATTAAAAATATTCGATCCAACCCAAATCAGCCCGGTAAGATCAAAACAAGATGTACTCGATCCAAAATAGAAAAATCCTAGAATCGCACGATTCTTCTCGTTTATTAATTTCTTTTCATCTTTGTAAATTGTAACTCTCTCCAACTCAGGACTCATCTTTCAATTACCAGACTCATCCGAGTTGGATTCGTGGCGAGTCAAACCGTTTATGAATTTTTAAACACTTTAATAAATGCTAAAGATTCGTACACATCATATACACGTGACAACAACAATGAAAATAAAAAGAAAATACTTAAATAAATAAAGAGATTGTATACAATGAAGTGATTTACCTTTGTATCAAAGGCCCCACATAATAGATTAATGTACGGGTATAGACAAGGACCAATCCTTCAACACACATGCATGTGAAAAATGAAAAAATTAAGAACAAAACGAATGGAAAGGACCAATATTTCAACTAGTGTAGACAAAAATATCAAAAATATGGTACAAATGGCTTAAAGGTCAAAAAGTTACTCCTAACCAAAGATGCCCATAATATTTGCAAGGATTTTGTACAATGAGAATGATTTAAATTTTGGATCGTTAAGATGGACTGGTCCTCCATTGTATTAATCCAGATCAGCAATCTAGATCAGTAAATCAACAAAAATTTGATAAAAAAAACAATAAAAAGAAAGTAACCCAATATAGGAGGGGAATGTGCTTTGTCTAACCTCTGAACCTGACTCCAAATCACTGATTGGGAACCAACATCATTCAGGCATTATTTGGTGCAATGTTTCAACCCAGGTCCGTGGGGCAATCATTCGCCCACGTATTTGTGTTAGATCATTGGATCGACAATTCAAATCGGGTTTGGAACAGTCAAATCAATGATCTACAAATATTTTAAAATAAATAAAATTAAAATAAAAGCTTATAGGAAGGGGAACCGAGTCTAGACCCATACCATCTCTGAACATGTCCCTATCAATTTCTATGTGGATCGAGGAAACAAATCATAAATCACTTGATATACATTGGTATGGTACACATCGGTAGGATGGACCACAAGCCTTATTGTGTAAATTTTAAATGGCTCATGTTTCATTTCGTTAGACACAGGGTAGCCAACACACCTTCAAGGAGTTTTCTTTGGGGTTGGGTTTAACCAGACCTAGACCCAAACCCAAACCCGACCAGACTCAATTAGACCCGACTCAAAAATAAAAAATAACTATTTAAATATATTTAAATGTTATTGTTAAATAAATAAATATATATATATATATAATTTAAATATTATAACTAAAAAACTATAGTTATATTTATTTAAATAATAATATTTTAGGGTCAGATCCACATTGGTCCAGACCTAAATCGGGTCCATTGCAACCCCTATGAGAAAGTGAGAAGTTTGTGTGGACATATCCATGTGCAAGTTGGTGTGCTCCATCAACATGAAAAAAGAAATGGAAATTTATGGGAGAGTTTGGGTTTTTTAAGGTGTCAATTTTATATTGTAAAAGTAAGGTTTATGTCAAAAATTTATCTAAAAAAGTTATTCTAATGCTTAAAACATTTATCATAGTTAAAAAAACTAATTCTATTCCAAATTATGAAATTTAAAGTTCCAAAAATTATACAAATCAAGTGTTTATAGTTGGAATATTTTTTAAAAAATAGATGATCTGGACAATATTTTTCAACTATACAATACTTTTACCCCTTTTCCATTGTTCAAAGCCAAATTTTTTAGATTAATTAAAAATTAAATTTCTAATATCTTAGACAAATTTGACAAATTTCCTAAATAAAAATTGAAACAAATGTGTTTTGGTGGTCCCACTGCTTAACTTTTACCTGCCTCTATCCAAACAAAACGGTTTGACAACGCATGTTAGGGATTGCCGGAATGTTCCCTACTTTGTATTCTTCGAAAGAGTCATCAAATATTATTGCCAAATTCATGGCTGCCCTCAAGTTTCAAACTCTAAAATTAAGGTACCTCCAAAATGTACTACTGAGTTTACATGGACAGGATGTCTCTCTAAAAAAAGTACTACAAGTTTAAATGGACTAGATCTCCCTCTCTTGCAAAAATGAAAGCTCGAGCTCTTTTTGTTTTCAAGCACGCAAGAGTCATATATCAAAACGATATTTGCCGCACTTCGATGTAGTACTTGATGTGTATAAGAAGGGCAACTCGTCCTCTAAATACAGAAAATCAAAAAAGTCTTTTATGACGTTCATAAGCTCTATGCACCCAAACTTGGAACCTACACAATAGCCAATCAATTTCTCTCTCCTTTATACTTAAAGTAAATTGCATGGAGATGTGTGCTCTTAAATACACCTTAATAAACTCTTTCCTTTTCAATGTGGGACTCAAACTCACATCTTCCTCTCTCTATAAAGGCATTTTAGAAAAGTACAATAAAACCAAAGTGGTTGTTTTGAAATACTCTTAAGCATTTTTCAACCCAAAAATACTAATACAAAACTTATGGAAATTTGAGGTTCTAGTGTTGGAAAACCTTCAAATTGATCATTTCAATATTTATCATTATGGTTGTAAGATAGAATTAAGAATTTAAGCCTTAAAAATAATGTATATATAAACTGGGCCATCCATTTTCAAGTTCTCATAGATCTACACGATCTAAACCCTTTTTTAAGCTACTAAATTCATAGTTGACGGCAGAAATTGATTTTAGAGCCATCATAAACCAAAGAGTTTTCGAGATGAGGTTTCTTAATAAGGTTTTGCTTTTTCTTATAAGGCCTAAGCCTAGAAAATGCATCCTCTTTTTTTTGTGGGATGAAAGAATACAATATGATTATTAGGTTTATTCAGCCTGTCCAAGCAGCACAAGCATAACACCTTTAAGGTTAAGAGTCTTCCACCATTTCGAAAAAATTTATATAATGGTGCAATCTTATACGTCAAAAATCCAATAGAAAAGAGTATTCCAAAGCCAGAAAAAATCAAATTGATCATCTCGATCTCAAGATGTATAAACATAAAGAAAAAAGAGAATTTCATATCCTAAAAATAATTCATCTTGTAACAAGTTATCTGGAACGTCTATTTTCAAACGCTTATAGATTGACTCGATATACACCATTTTGGTAATTTTAAATTTCACAATTAGGATTAAACATAAAATTTCAAAACCATCATAAGGTTTCGAAGACCAAAACTACATCTTCCGACAACATTTAGAAATACACCTTACTCGAATATAATAAAATGGGCACCTTATAAAAACCTCACCCTAAAAATTTTGCTCCTAAAAACGTAATAAATAAACCTCCAGCTTTACAAAATCTCGTAGGCTACATCTTAAAATCTTGTCAAAAAAATTTAGTGCAGTATTAAATAATTGAAAAATTTAAGCCCAATATCAAAAAAATTGCAAATGAATCATAAATCTATTTTATGCTTCTGGCAATTGAATTTGAAAATATAATGGTATCAAATTAGCAGATATGTGAACATTTTGAAATTGACGGCCTAAAAAAATTATTGCAAAATAGACGGGCTTAACATTTCAAGCAGGTGAATGATTTGCTAAGTTTTCTTGCCCTGGGAATGCATTTCTATCAAGATTCGAGGTGTTTACTAAGTTCATTTTTCTCATTTTTTTTAATTTTTAATTTTTGTTTTTCTCTTTGCCGACAACTTTGCTTTGGATTTTTATCTTTGTATGTAGACATGCAGGGGACTTTGGTTCCAAAAAAGCCAAGCTTTGTGACCCCTTAAAATAGCCAAAAAAAAAAAACATAAATATTTTAATAAAATAGCACCAAAAACTAATAAAAAAGGAATAAGAAATTCAGATTTATGAATTATTTAATAACTCATATGGAATCATCCATTTATAGACAAAGGAAATCTCAAGGCTCATTTAATGCAAAGGATGGGCCTTTCCATTCTTCCAATGGGCGGCCACCGACACTCACCAAGCCATTTCAAACTACAAAAATATTCCTTTTTTTAAAACTTAAACTGAGTATATTGGGTGACCCATATGACATTCATTTTATCACAATAATATCAGAGATATTATTGGCCCTTGATTTTTTTGAGAGAAAATCAAGATAAATAAGTGTGGGTAACTCCATGTACGGGTCGCAATGGACCCGAACCCGGACCCAGACCTCACTTGGGATCTGGGTCCAAATATAGGTTTAAAAATTGGACCACCGAATCAGATAGGTTTGATAGATCGATGGTCAAGTGTACATCATCAGATTTTCAAGTTTTCATAGATACGATCGTTCTACATTGTTTCGTAAGCTTTAAATTTTATAATTAAAAATAAAAATATATTTTAAAACTATCACAAATATTTTTGCAATTTTATAAATAAAAATAAAGATATATTTTAAAGCTATCACAAGTATTTTCGATATCAAAACCATATTTCTCCACACCATTTGAAAGAACGCTTTACTTTCATTGTTTAGAGCCTCAACTCTATACTTTACTTGATTGTTTAGAGCCTCAACTCTATTCAAACCGCACCCTTTATAAATTCCAATTTTCTTACTTTAAATTGGCATCAATTATTATTGAAAAGAATAGATATTTATGTGTTGAAGGAAAACTTTTTAAGGGTGGTTGGAAAATTCAATTATTTTATAACAGCATAAGTTAGTTAAAAGCAAATTATAATTAAATATATAAAAATAGGATTAACTGACAGTCAGATCTTCATGCAATGCACAAGACATGAGCTAATTTGATACAATTCCATAATAATTCTCAAAAAAGCTTTACACCAAAACATGTAACCACCACACCCATTGAATATTTAATCACATCGAATAATACATCAAAAATAAAAAAACATAACGGTAAAACAAGATTCATGTAGCCAACCCCAAGTATTCGAAACAAAAGTCGGAATGATCCAGAGTCGAATGATTAAGATGATGTCAAGCAACACGGTCAACTTGACCTGGATATGGGACCCTATTCTGAACACAAGGTCCAAAGGTATGTCAACCCTAACCCGTTTCAGATATATAATAACATCTATGTAAACAATATTATATTAAATATTGTAGCATTACATTATATTAATACATTTATTATACAACCACTGTATTATTTATTATTTGAAAATTGCCACCAATTTCCCTATTCACATTCATTTTCTTAAAATTTTATATTCCAAATCCAAGGAGTCCTTTTTTAAAACAAAGGAACCAACACTCGAATATTTTGACACCATATACCTTTGTTCAAAGTCTATTCAAAATAAACAATACAAAACACACCATCCCACCAAACCCACCCAAACAAAAAGAACTAGCATGGACTGTGATTACATCAACCAGCACAAATCCTTCCAATCACAACCGTCCATCCAAATCCAAAAATAGCAGGAAAAAAAAAAGTAACTCAAAAATGTGTGTGGGGAGGGGGGGAGAGGGATCCTATCTACTCTTTCCAGTTCCATATCACATGTTCAAGCTAAGCCTTGAAAGATAAAAAAAAAAAACAAAATTAAAAGACAAAAAGTGAAAACATAAAACTGAAAGCAATTTTGTTTTGGAAGATTGACCCAATAGATAACATAAATTACGGTCAGCCCCTGATCGGCATGCCCAACCGATTTAACCGACCGGACCCCGGATAAGCCTTTGATGTGAACCGAGCCTTACACCCATCCCCATGCTCCGACTTCTGCAATGAACCCACCTTCTCACACTCGGGCCTTTGTCTAGGCGCACTTTGAGACCTAGCCTTAGCCCTCGAGGACTCGGTGTTCGCCATATAATTTGGGAAATTCCAATAATACCCATCAAAATACCCTTGCCCCACTCCACTACCCTCACTTTTCGCAGGGGCAAATGGACCCCTCTTGAGGCCATGCATCGACGAGGAGGCGGAGTAAAGTTGAGGGCTATTCTCAGCTGTACCGTAAATGCAATCCTCCTCTTCATATCGAACTCGAAGAGGACTCAATGGAGAGTGAAGTGGCATGCGAACTGAGGGTGAAGCGCTGGAGATCGATAATTGAGCGGTTGTAGAGTCCTTAGAGGGGGAGAGGCCGGGTTTTCCAGGGTCAATTTCGAGAATTTTGTCAGAGTGGTCATCATCATGGGTGGTTTTGGCTGTTCGAGCTGAGCGTGCGGTTTCGGTGGATGGCGCATGGTCGATAGAGCGGCCACCATCCATCCAACGATCGAGCCACATCCATCCTGGGTGCATCCCATCTTGGCCTATGTCACCACTACTAGGCTTGGAGGCATTCCTCTACATGAATGTACAAATAATACCAATGTTAAGCACAACGATTTACGAAGAGCTCGATGTCTTGATATCCATGTTTTATCCATAGAGTTTTCGTCGATTTTTTGTTAAACATACACAAATCATACAGATGACTAATACCATTTTGTACCTGAAACCCTAAACCATAACCCCTTGGATGAATTGTAATTATGCTCCTATCAAATGATAAATAAATAAATAAAATGCACAAAAAAAATTGCCTGTCATTTGTCAACAAGGCCTTGAGGTTACTGGTGTGACATCAGGTTTATAGCAGAGAGGTCTCTAGTTCGAACCCCAATCTGTGCAAACTAAAAATCACTGGTCCCTCGCAAACTATAGAGGGTAAAATGATGCACTATCGAAGGGTACGATACCATATTCCTTATGACATTCACAAGAATTCGAAACTATGAAGAAAAAGCATTCTATAAAGATGTTATGAATCAGAAGAAAAGAATCACGTTCAAGTTGAGTACCTTGAGAGGCACCATTCTTTCACGCTTTGACAGGTTCCGTTGCATTCTCGACTCTTGTTTGTCAGGTGTTGCAGGCCCCTACAATCAAAAAGGAGGGTAGAGAAAAGCTTAAATGCATTGAAATTCAAACCAATTACAATTTCTTCAAGAGTTTTATTCACATCGGGTGTCCAAATTGGTTTAGGACTCTAGATCAATGTTTAAAAACCCAGGCTTGGGCAGCAGGCTCCCAAGCCCAATCCCAGAGGGCTACTTGGCCGAGTTAATTCGGCCGAGTCTCAATAAGAAAACACATAAAGAATTTTAGACTTGGGACTTGGGTCAGACGCACCAAAATTTCGGTTTAGTCATCCGAAGGGCAACTGGCCAGGTCTAAGTGGCACGGGTGACTCTGAGCCCGATTCAGCGATTATTTAAACATTGATCTAGACATAATTCAGAATACTTTCCAAATCAAAACTCTAAGAAGTTTTGTTATTGATGTAGAGATATTCAGAAGAGAGACATTGGCTGACAATGAGAGAGAACCTACCCATATCTATAAAAGAACCATGACGTCCATTTTTCAATGTATAGTTGAATTTTTTACATATTTTCATGTGTTTCTCTCCTAAATTTGAGGCTGTTCCATTATCACATTAAAAAGGGTTACTCTGCATACACTATGCACCAAAGATTGTAACATTTCAAAAATAAATTTCAACCAAATTTCAAGAATAGATGGTTGAGAATGGTGCTAAGATCCCCACTTTTGAGCCCTAACCAGGCCAAATTTTCTTTTGGAACAAAATAGACCATAAACTTTTTGAGTGATAGTAGGAAAAAGCAGCCAAAAATTGGGATGGTGCCATGGAATGAAAGACCCAAAGTTGGGACCACAAGAAATAAATGTTGGAGCTAAAAAATCTCATCAAACTTTCCTTGAGTTCAAATTCACATCATTCAAAGTCAGGAGAATTAGTCCCATGGCTTTAGGAAGAATGGTTTTTTACCTGTTTTACATGATCTCGAGAATCAAAACCCAACTTCAAATTTAACAAACTTACTTAACAACAAATATAGTACTTTGATTTTAACAATCTAAATTTAAAACCTTGATATCAGAGAAAAGAAGAAACAACATTGAAAAGAACTTTTAAAATTTGATAACATTGGGATTGGATATTTGAAGTTTGCCCACTTAAAGATGACAGAAATTTGAGAGAGAGAGAGAGAGAGAGAGAGAGAGAGATGACTTACAAAGGTGGGCTTGGATGGCTGGGAGGAATGAGGGGGGTGGGTTGCTTCAGAGGCGTGGAGGCGACCCGCGCGAGCGCGGGCCTGAACTCGAACCAAAGCCTGCATGCACCTCAGGGTCTCAAATGCTTGCTTGCGCACAATGTGGCCCCTGACTAGAGCCTGAAGCTTCACCAGGCCCTTCAATGCGCGAAGAGCCCGCCTTGCCTAACATTGAGTATACAGAAGCACGTGAGATCCACGGCAAGAAGGAAATAGAAGACTCGGTGATGGGATGAAATCCATATACAAACTAAGATACTTAACCACTCATACACAAAGGCCACAAACACCCAAAGCCATCTGGTGTAAAATCGGATGGCTGGGTTCCGATATTTTTACCGCACAAAGTACATGGAAATTTTTCTCAGACTTGAGCATGGTATATAGTACACCCTTAGCCTTCCAATTTCACAAAATAAGACATTTTTTTTTACCCAAAGCCATCATCATCGTCAAAGCTATTTTCCAACAAATTAAGATCGACTGCACGAATTCTAATCCACCAATATGCTCTATTAAGGGCCATATCCTCAGTGAGGTCATAAGTCCCCATACTTTTTTTACCCGTAACCAATCTTATTGTGTACTTTCCCTTTAATAATTTATCATTTTGAGCTACTTACCCCAGTTTTGGCTGCTATATATTTTAACATATTGAGAAAGCAATTCAGTATGCTTTTTTAAGCTACATTCTTCTTGTTATGGCCTATACAGCCAACTTAAGATTGTTTGTCATACACAATTGAGGCACGAATTCATGAAAATCAATCCAGAAGCCAGTTGAAACAGCAACAACAACTAAAATTAGTGTTTTAAAAACCGAACCGGTGGGCTGAATCAGACAAATAGAGGAACTGAAACAGTTCAGTAATTTCCAATCCGGTCGCCAATACGTGACATTCTTTGTATTTAAAAAAATTAAAAACAGTGGAAACATGGGGTGTTAGGTGCTGTTTAGAACCAAACCGCACACCCACCAATTCTGAGTGAACTCGCCATTTTTTAAGATAATAACTAACATTATAAGGTAGATAAAAATCAAAATCAAAATAAATCATCGTCATTGTCGTCAAAGCCCTTTCCCAATTTAATTCGGGACGGCTAAAAAACCCATAGAAATAAATTCAAGAAAAAGACAGTACAGTAAACCTCTCTCTCTCTAAAAAGGCAGTTATGTAAATGTCTCTCTCACTAAAAGACAGTACAGTAAATCTCTCTCTCCAACAAGACAATACAGTAAATATATATCTTTCTCTCTCTGTGGACCCTCGAGTAGAGCAGGGGTCAAGCTCGAATATTCAGAAAATTTATTTTGGGAGACTCCGAGTTTTAAAATCGAGTGGTAATGGCACTCTCCAAATAAAAACTAAAGACGGCAAAAATAAATAATAAACGAGATTTTTGTCCGCCATAATTTGTGAAGTTCTGGACCATATTGCCATTTTGAAAAAATGGGGGGCCATTTCAACCCATTTTATCCTACACTACACAAAGATAACAACCAGGGAAGCAGGCAGGTATCGCTTATATACACAGGACGTGTATGCAACAAAACCTTTCCCCACTCTACTCCCAAAAACCATCCCCACCATTCATTCCCAAAACAAACCGTGATTACTGACCTTTTTCATTTCACCAATTCAACGTCAAAAGATTAATCAACATTTTTATATCTAAAAAAAAAAGCTTCTTTGCAGTCTGAGTTTCACAACCATGACATTTTGAGCACCGGGCACGGGCAGAAATCAAATTTTTGATACATATTTTTGGCATTTGTTGCCGCTTTCCAGCTTGGATTCTGACTCACTCAAGAACAGTTACGCATTGTTATACATCCTAAAAGAATTACTTCGATTCATAATCGCAGGACAAGTATTTTCAATCGGCAGGCAGGCAACTTCATATTTCGATCAGAATCCAAGCTAGGAAGTGATATGATTTCTTGAAAAGCATTTCTTCCGAATCTGACTTAAAGGTTTTGAGACGCGGCAAGCCACTGGCACCATGTTTAAGTCAAAATCCAAGCTCGGAAGCGCAGTCCTTTGCAGTAGCCAGGTGAAAGCGACTTAATTTCTATCATTTAAGTCGGAATCCAAGCTAAGATGCGTTCGTTCCTTCCCAATAGTCACCACCACATGTAACTTCTCCCCAGTGCTCAAAAAATGTAAAAATGATGGAATTCAAGCAAGATTGATTTCTGCAAATAAGGGAGTGTTTGTTTGTTTGGTTAATGTAGGTAGGATTGCTAGTATTCTTCGAATTTTACTCACCAAGTAAGCCCTAAATGCAGATTGTATCTTCACCGCTGCCCAATCCTCCCTCTTTCCGCCGCCGCCACCATAAGCACCAGCTACAGCAACAGAGCATCCCGCTGCCCGGCCACTGCTCGTGAGCCGCACCACTGCTGCAGCCGCCTGCGCTGCAGCCACCGCCGCCTCGGCAACTGCAGCAGTGGCGGCAGCAACAGCTATGGCGTGCTTGTTGCTCTCATCGAAACGTGAAGCCCCTTCTCTGTATGAGCCGCGCTGTTCAGCCGCTGCCGGAGCCGAAAGGCGAGGGCCGGCTCCGCCTCGCTCTTTGTCTCGGAAGGATTTAACGAAGCCCCATTTCCGCCGCTCTTTCAGGGGCTCACCACCGGGTGGATCCTGAGAGGTGGCGGACTTTTTGCTGCCTAAGAGGCCGCGTAGCCAACGACTGGCCTTGCCCATTTCCTAATTTGAACAAATCGGCGCCGATTTTTTGGCATGGGGAGGAAGAAAGAGAGAGGGGGGGCTGAAGACCAAAGCACAAGAGAAGGACGACAGATAGAGAAAGAGAGTGGGAATAGGATGAAGAGAGGGAGATGATTAAAAAGAGTAGACGATAAAGGAGAGGTGGGGTGTTCAGATTCTTAAGAATTGAAGAGGGAGGTAGGAGAGAGATTGGGAGAACGAAGACACAGGAAAAGTAGAGAGAGAGGGTGTGGGAGAACGAAGACAGAGGAAAACTAGAGATAGAAGCAACACAGAGATTGATAGAAGGAAGACAGAGGAAAAGCAGACAGAGAAGGGTGACAGGATTAAGCCTCGAGGAATGGGATTAGAAAGACAGGAACAGTAGAAACAGAGGGAAGGTAGCAAGGACTAAAAGGGTAAGTACAGAGAGAAGGGAGAGAGAATTGGGGGGTTAAGGGGAGAGAGAGGAGGGGGGGGGGGTTAAGAAGACAGACAAAAGGGGGCGCTGAGGTTCTCAGGAACTGATGAAGGAATAAGAGAGAGCCCCAAAAGGAAGGATATTAAAAAGAAAAGTAGAGAGAGAAGAGGGAGTACAGAGCGGGGGGAACAGGTCAAATGAGTGAGAAGAGAAGAAGAAAAGATGAAGGGAACGAGGTAAGCAAGCAGTGACAGGTGTTAAGAAGAGGAAAGAGACAGGACAGTGGAGACGGAGAGACGAGTTAAACGAGTGAGAATTGAAGAAGAAAAGATGAAAAGGAGGAGGTAAGCAAGTAATGAGAAGAGGAGAGAGAGAGAGATAGAAGACAGAAGAGAGAGAATAAGACAGAAGAGAGAGAGAGAGAGAAGGGTTAACTGAGTGAGTAGTCGAGGTGAAGAGACGGATCAGAAGCTGAGGAAATAGAGAGAGAGGGACACGCGGAAAAATCGCCGATTTGTAGGTCCCGATGTAGGCGTGAGCGGACGGGAGATATATACGGTTTTATTTTCGGTATTTATTTCACAGAAAATTAAAAAACATTGTATGCTCCCAGGATCATAGTGTACTTTTATCCTCACACATAACTTATTGTTCAGTGGAAGCTGCAACCACCACAATTGTGTCACTTCTGAGTGTTTATTTGCAAAAATGCGATGCGCGGTTATGATATCAATTTCGGAGTTTTTTTCGATTTGGCGAGAAAAATGAAATAATTTGATATTTAGACTGATTAAGGAGAAAAATTTTGATTTTTTGTTTAGTTTAATATAAATAAATTAAATATATATATATATGATATATAAAAACAATGGAATGTTTTTAAAATAAAAAATTCAAAAAAATATATTTTATATAGATATTACATTGTTTACGCTGAATAGGCCGAACCGGCCCAAAGCATACTAGAACCTGACCGAAGCTACCCGAAATGGTAGCACCAGGCTTCGCTTTGCTTATGTCTAAGCGTAAAATCTGAAGGTCTCGACCAAATTTGACGACAATTCACGATGTGTTTTTTAGTGCCACTAATATTGAGCAGCTTCCAAAACGACGTCAAATTGAATGATGTTGTTTTGCGAAAGGGACTGCTGACCAATGGAAGTGGCAACTTCCAAATCGTGTAAACTAGGGGTTGTTGCCGCCCGAAATTCTACAAAACAGACAAGCCCCAAGCTGGGACTATGCTCTAACCTTATATTGTAAAAAGGTGCACCTTAAAATTTTGCTTCGATATATGATTTTGATTTCAATAATCTTATGATAGCTTGAAAATCTATTTTTATCCCTTGTAATAAAATTTTAAATTTTCAAGATAGTACAAAACCAATCTAATAAATATTTAAAAATATTATAAATAAAAAGTCAAGATAACTTGATACAAAATGCATTGTTCTTGAGGTTGAATTTTTTTTTTTTTACATCCACCAATCTCAAGGTGAAAGAGATCATTAGAGGATTCTCCAATGTCGGAACCCTCTCCTCTAAAGGATTTTTGAGATGCAACCTACTTCTTCTCTTAAGTGCATTATGCTAAATTTCTCTAGAATAAAACTAGTCTTTTTACAAGGAAAGTAAATATATAGTTTGATCCCGCCGGAGCACTATACATGTTTCAAAACACAGTGTGCGGTACTAGTACTTTGCGCTCTGACTCCGGGTCATTGCCGGCGTCCAGATAATATTAAATTATTTTTATGGGGAATGACGAAAATGCCCTCGGTATTTGGGGAAAATTTCAGAGCTGAAAATCTAGTCCGTACTTGATTCAGTTTGGCCTTGGACCCCAGGTTGACCGTTGGATTCCCAGGAAACAATAGTGGGTGAAAGAAAATGACGGAACTACCCTTGATTTTTCCTTTTCTTTTCTCCAAATCCAACAAAACTCATCCCAAAGATTGGGTGGCAATGGAACCGGACCCTATCCGGGACGAACGTCGGATCCCTATCAGGTCTGGGTAGGGGTTAAAAAATTGGACCCGGCCGGTTCGATCCGAGTCTAAATATTGGACTTGAACACTATTTTGGGTTCAGGCCGGAGTTTATGTGGGACCAACTTGAATAGTATTATTATTTAAATAATATTTAATATATATATTTTTAATAATATTTATATAATTATAACTATATCTTTTAGTTATAATCTTTAAATAATACATGTATATATTTAATTTTTTTTTTTTTTGGGTCAAGTCCAATCGGGTTTGGATTCGGGTTCATATTTAGGTCCAGGTCCGAGTCTAGGTCTAGCTGGATCCAAACCCGACCCAACCCATTTGCCACCCTAAGTGAGTGTGAGGGCTCATACATGGTGGTCCTGAAGGATCAAATTATGCATTTGGTTCTTGGTATAGTTATCAAGACCGAACCTGAATGCAACGGTCAGCTTGTGTCTTGATTGGTCTTGCACAAATAATAAATTGGGATTAGTTGAAAACTAGTCAAAAGTTGTGTTCGGCCAATTTTGACTATTGAAACTAGCTAGCTTTGACTAGTTGGATAGGGTCAATACAAGTTTTGTATATTTATATTTATAAAAATATGGTTTAATCAGTTTGGTTGGTAGCCGAACCGCGTGGCAATGGACCCGGACCTGACCTATGACCGGACGGGCATACCCAAATGGGTCCGACTATGGGTCAAACATTTAGACCTGGCAAGTCGGGTCTCGGTCCGGGTTCGGTTGGACTCCGACCCGTACCCATAAATTGTTGGAGATAAAATACTTCAAGGCCTATTCGTTTGGGTGTATTAAGGATTGTATATAATGAGAATTCATAATCATCTTTAGCTATTAAATGACAAATATTATGGGTTGCAGCCTAATGGTGGGTTGTGACCATGTTGCCAATAATTTCGGTATATAATGGTAAACAAAGGGCAAAAAAAAAAAAGCTCATAACGAAGGTGGCAATGGATTGGACCAGACCCAAGATCCGACAGGTATGGGTATGGATCCAACTTTTGGACCTGATGGGTCGGGTCTAGGTCCAGAACTTAGACCCGAATACATTTGGGTATGAGTTCGGGTCCGACTAGACCCGACCCATTGCCACCCCTAATTTTGACTAGACCAGACTCTTTATTAGTCCAACTACCGTTAGTTCCAAAGCAAAACACCTAATTTGATGGATTCTTTAGCAACATATTTGTTTTGATTCACCTTATGATCAATTTCAAACCAGGAAACACAAGTTATTTTGAGATTTTAAAAATTAATTTATAAATATCTAATTTTTGTCATATGCATGTCAATGGGGAATTGATGTGGAGCATTCTTTTAAGAAAAATTGTTTTATGCGGGCTAGATCGCTTTTCTACAATATGTGATCCCGAGGTATGCAAATAGGTGGTCCATCTAAAAAATCAGTGTACTTGACGGTCCAAATATTTTTATAATATAATTATTATTTCTAGTTTCAAATTGTTTTTTTTTGTTTTCTGTTTTTTTTTATCATATTCATGATCACTATGTTTAAGATTATATATTCTCTACAAAATAGGATCAAATTATGTTTAAAAATTATATGTAGTGCCAAGCCTGCATTTCTACAATGCAAGCTGCCCTATAGAAACCGTGTCCTTCTTTTAATCTCATATATTTGATTTTTTTCAGTTATTTGAATGTTTTCCGTTTCTTAATGTTGACGATAAAATATCGTTTGATCTTGGAAATAAGTATAAGAATGATTTCATATTCAGGTTAAACAAATCCCCTTACTATATATGTGGGTAAAGAGCCCATTATGTTCCCGCAGGACCAAATCTTTCTCCATTTAGCAACTAGACCAGTGAAATGATTCACCCCTTGTATATAGCTCCTTGATTTTCTAGTAGACATTCAAGATGAATCAACAAATGTTTGAACACTATAAAAAGAAAAATAATTAATTAATGTATAATAATTTCTAGCTGCTTTAGATCCTTAGATGTGTACTTATTATTAAAACTTTCATTTATTGATCATATCAATAAATGGGGGTTTTGTTTAAGCGGAAAGCTCAAAAAAAATAAGGGTAAGATCCAAAGATATGAATGGAAGCAGTTAAAAAAGACATGGTAATATATGGTCAGATATGAAAGTACGATCCTTAATAGAGAAAAATGATAGAACATGATTCATGTAACCAACATCAAATAGTTGGAATAAGACTCAAATGATGATGATAATAATCGACAAATGAGGTTATAATTATATGTTTGAGTGATGGTTTTTAGGAGATATGCCATGAAATTTTGGGGTTATTGTTGTGGACTAGAGGGTATAAAAATAAAAAAGACAATGTAGAAACAAAAGGGAAAAGTTTCTATACTTCCCCTACTTTATGGAAGATATATACTTCCACCTCCATCTAGCCGCTCAATTTTGATAAAGTGAGCCACTAATCATTTGATTTAGATATGATGCTTCATAGTATTTTATTTTTAAATTTTTCTACAAATTATATGAATACGAAATTTAGTTTGTGTCAACATCTCAATGGAGATCACCTAAAAATAATATTAAATTTTTTTCGGTAAAATAAAATAACTAAAATACTCCGATAAAATTTAAGGGTATTTTGATCATTTCATTTTATTGAAAATATTGTTAATATATATTTTACGATTTAATAGAAGAGTAGGTACCCAAAATTTGGAGTCAACATGTTATGTAGAAAAAATTTAAAATTGATTAATATAAAGGCCTAGCATTGTGATCGGACCATTTTAGTCATCCATTCCATTCCATTTTAGCCATCCATTGAGAATGGAATGGATTGTTGGAATGGAGAAAGTACACAAGTTTTATACATTAGAGAGAAAGTAAAGAAAGTTTGCCCAAAATAGAAAGGAATGATGAGCGCCTTTCAGGGGGCTTTTTAAGCTCTGCATGGGACTCGTGAAAGCTACGGCCTCATGTTGATAATGATGGTGCATGAAAGAGGACCATGCATTACTTTTTCTAAAACAAAGTCGGAAATGACTATCTCGTATTAGCACGTGACAACTTCTTTGAGACACATTACATAAATTGAAGGGCTGGTCGTGTGCCCGTTCCGCTCTCTTGCAAGAGTTAAAACCTCTTATCAAACATCCCTCTCTCTCTAAAAGATACATGTACCTTTGATGGATTTAATAATCAAAAGAGAATCTAAAAAATACTACTTATTTTTTTGTACATAAATATTACATTTACTATTGTCTTTTAAATTTCAAAATGGGTGGTTGTAAGAGTTTCATTGAACAAACACAAAGTTCCAAAAAAAAAAAATTTAGAACTTCATAACTCACCCCAAGCTATCTAATTTGATATCTAATGAGTGTGATCTCTATGTACAAAATATAAATAGTCTTTTTGTAGAGACAGTCCCTGATCAAAATCATAACTTAGTAATGTCCAACAGGAGCGCGCTATATATTTGCTTGTATTTTAAATATCAAGTATTGAGATCGGTGGCACTGATTGGAATATGTTGGGGACTGACCTTTTTTGGTATGATTTAGAAGGACTTGTCCGGGTT